TGGTTCGTCTCCAAAAATAAAACCAGAATTTGAAAAGAGAGTATCCTTTGATCTTTTTGTTTGATTGACACGGAACCTACTGGAAACCCATAATCACAATTCGTCGTTCGTTTCCCTTTTTTGAGATGGGTTTCTTGGTTTTTTATGATTGTTGGTTGTTTCTTTGTGTTCATCCATTGGTAGTTTGATCTCGAGCTAACTTGTAAAAAACCATAACACCGTCCCGTCAATTCTTGCCTAGTTTATTCCATTTCCCTGATGATATGCAAATTAAATTGTTTCTTCTCTCTATCTCTTCTTTCCCATTTTCTTCCCCACCATACGATTCCTAAATACATGCACAATTGTTTCCTGTGTCGACCTTCCAAAACCACTGTGTCAGCTGTTCTTCTCTTCTGAAGATTTATTCCAAAAAGATTGGATTCGTACAAACCGGATGAGTCGCGTCTAGACGGGAAATGTCAACTGACATTCGGGAACGAACGGCATTTTTGAATTTTGGAAAATTTTTAATCAAAAAGGGGTTTGGAAGCTACATCCTTATGGGATTCTACTGTACGAAATGCGTAGGATGCGGATCCCTAAAAATACATATAAAAGGAGTTGGAGTCATTCATTTTCTTCATTCTTGGATGGTTTTCCTTTTTTTGTGAGACAAAATAGACTTCAAAGTACCTTCAGGTCTTTAACCATCTACCTGATCGCATTTCGGGTCCAGTAGACCCAAATCCTTTCAACCTAATAGTAAACTTCCTTGGCATTTCCCTTCCACCCACATTCTTCTCATTTTCTCTTCATTTCAATCTCTATTCTTGTCCTCTTCTTACATTTCTTTTTTGTTGAAACACTCCAAATTCACCTTTTCTATTCAATTTTTTCTACAAACTCCAAGCCCGAAAACGACGACATCCTCCTCATTCTTCGTTTTCTTCTATGAAGACCAGCTAATCGAGAGGAGACTCTTTTTTTAACCCTTCCAATTTTTTAGAAGAGGATACCTGGTTGAACTAGACTCTGAAATTCATGAGTTTGGATATCGGAGATCTCTTGATTTTTCCCGAAATACTGACGTTAACCCAAAAAACAAAAAATGTCAGATTTTAAGTATTATACATACTGAGTATACGTAAATCTTTAATCCTCTGGAGTCCCTTGTTTTTGAGTACCAATCTCGGTGCCATCTACCTGGTTTCAATTAGTATCCACGACAAATTGAGCCCCTTGAGTTTTTTCAGAGTCTCTTTAATATTTATTTTCTGTTGACTACACACATTTTTCAATAATCTCCACTTCCTCCTTGTTTTTTATAACCTTAAAGGAAGGCACATTGTTGTAAAATTAAAAAAATAGAAGCGAAAATAGAAATTTAGAAGGGTAACAATGAAACGCATTGAATTCTCAGTGCCCGTTTTTCTCAATTTCTTCAATTTCAATTTTCAATTTTCTTATTCAATGTTTCCTTATCTAGCTATGTTTTTCTTCTTTCCATTCCCCCCCCCCCCTTTTCGATCTTGTACCTTGAACCCCTTGGGTCCCAGTTAACTTTGCCTCCTGAAACACTTAAAAAAAAAGATAGTCAGAGTAAGAAGGTTCAGAATCATAGATTAGGATTCATAAGAAGTACCGAGAGTGAACACGGCGTTTCCTGTGAAGAAAAAAAAAGACGAAAAACAACTTTCGAATATCAATCGCTTCATCTTAAAAAGTTTTTTTGAGATGTCCAGAAATAAGATACGGAAAGAGAAAAAAGGAGAAGAAGATGGATGAAACATGTCTAAAACGAGAGGTTTCAGCTACTGATTTTCCATGCTTTTTCTTCGTTTTTCACGTATTCCTGTGGCCGTATGCAAGAAAGTGGAAAACCATTTTCCGGTTTTTTGAAAATCGTTTTCTGAAAGTCTGGAAAGGATTTTCACAGTTCTTTTATCAATTTTTAGTGATTTTTAGCCCAGAATACATTTTATCTTTTTTTAATGGGAAAAAATTTAAGACTTTCAGAAAATAGTTTTCCACTTTCTTGCATATGGCCCCTGTTTTCCAACAGCACTTGGTTTTTTTTCAAAAAAAGAAAGAGTATACCGTAAAACCTGTAATAGAAGAGCCCCTGCTTTTCAACTTTAATCCAACTTATCACGGTTCCTGTCAGGGATATGAAAAAGTTGTCAACTGATAAATTGTTTACCATAATATCACAAACATTTTATTAGTTAAAAATTTTTATATCTTTCATGAGAGCCAAGAAAAACTATCTCAAACTTCACAGTGTCGGGGCTCTTCTATCACAGGATTTTTTCAAATTGTCTCTCATAAAAGTTGAATCAAATTGTGTTCTGAGCTATTACACATCACTATTGCTTTTAGAAAAATTGAGAATGAAGCCATAGTTTTAATTCAATATACATCATCCACCTCCATTTCCTTGTATTTTTTTTCATTTTTTGATATATAATTTCGTTCCAGTTTCTATGAATTGACCTGTATCCCCGTATTCAACTCATTTTCTATTCTAATTATTTTTTCCCGAATCTAAAAGAGTCTTGGACCTTGGGTCATCCCAAAAAATTTATAAGACTTCCTTCTCATTCTCTAAGCATCCACATAACACAATAACACGAAAATATATAAAAACTTGGACCCTCTTCTTCTTCTCCTAATTTTCTATTCTTGTCTCTCTATGAGTCAGAAGAAGAAAAAAACTACACTGGATCGGTTTCTTTTTTCTCTACCCCCTGACACCGTCACGACGTCAATTGAATGTATTGTTGGTTGGAATGGAAAAAAGAGAAATACAATTAGATCCGAGATTTCTTTGGTCCCGATAAAATCACATTTACACCAAAACCTCGTCTTTAATTTCTTCTTCTTTCGTACATCTTCTGTTGTTTTCAAAAGTTCCGCTTCTTTTTTCGGGACGCGTCTCGAGAAGGGTCCAGACACGTCATTTATAGACGCACTGCTGAAAATGAAATGGATAGAAGTGGGAAGACAAGGAATCCATTTCAGGGAGAGATAGCCGAAATTTGAAAACTGATCTGTCGACTCGGTCACCGATCAAAAGCCGATGTCTAGAGAAACGAATTGAATGGGCCACACTTTTACGGAAACCATATTTTTGAACGATTTGAGCTTTCGATCGCTTTGATTGTTTTTGACAAAAAGCTCTCAGATAGCTCTTCATCTTTATTAGCGCCTCAAATCAACCGATTCAATTTCGCCATAATCAGAATTATTATAATCCCAACCTTCTATGCTTTGGGTTTTCAACATAGCCGTCTTAACCTGACATATCTCATACGGCTTTCTAGCTCGTGCTCGAATGACTATTTCTTCATTAAAATTTCATTCGCCCTCCCATCGTCCGTTTTTTTTCGCCTTCCTCTTCTTTCCTCATCTTGTGCCTCTTATCCTCATCGTTCCCACCCTTTTCTCCTACACCATTCTAATTGATTCAGAACCGGCCAGATCAAAATTGAGGCGTAAAATTGAGTTGACTACTGACTAGAAATAGGTTCGATTCTCCTGAAAACAATAAAGCTATTTGTTAACCCCATTCTGAATCCCATTGTGGATTCCATATGTAGAATTCATGGGGTTTAGGAATCCCAAAAATCCCATAGAACTAAGGACCGGATATCCAATTCACTGATTTTCAATTCATAATTTGTACATTTCGAATCCAGTGGTCCCCTTTCTACGCAAGAATTTTAAATTTGACTAGACCACTTTTTGCTTTCTTTCTTTCTACGATTTTTGGATTGTAGAGTTTAGAATTTCCTATTCCAAGTGACCAATTCTGTGGAAATAGTCTTCATCTACTCCTCATTATTTCAGAATACTAGCTTTTTGAAAAACAACTCTTTGATACTAAAATCGAACTTGTAGAGACCTTTCAGATTCATCAGAAATTCAATGCATACTCGAAAAATGAGAGCGAGGCTTGAATTTTTGAACGGCTGGAAGCGGTTCGTTTCTTCCGCTCTCAAAATATGAATTTTGGACGAATTTCCCAAAAAGGCGAACCAAAATTCTGGCTCTGACGCATGTTTCAAGTTTTGTTTCGAATGATTTTTCTTTGCATTTTAATTTTCTAGAAATAAGAAAACACTGAATTTGATCTCCAATTCCGAAGAAAAAATAAACACTTTTGAGTATATTCTTTGTTCTTTTTTTGCGTCAACGATCCATCTCCAAAACAAATTAGACATTCAAGAAGTTAGGAAACTGTGATCTCTATTCCTTGTTCAAGCTTCAAAGATGTTTTGAAAAGATGTCTGACTCTGGAGCTTTTTAGAATAATCCGAATATGCAAGCCCACGTATGGTGCAGTTTAAAAAATCATTCATCCACAATTTTCATCAGACTAAATCTGGATTTCAGAATTATGCTCTGATAAGAATGAGATATCTTCTAGACAACTGGATATCGGATATCTAATGTCATATAGCACTCTATGTTTTTCCCCGAATATTTTCATTTTTTGGCTCAAATTCCCCTTCTACCCGTTCCTCTCACTTCCTTTCTGTCTCTTTTTGTTTCTGTTTTTCGGGTGGGTACAAATACGAAATAATTTCCGTTTGTGGGTGTCTAAAAACTATTAGAAAAGTAAAAAAGAGAGAGATGAACGAAAAAAGCGAAAAAGTTCGCCAATTTCTTCCCTTCTAACTTCCATTTCAGAGGAGAGAAACGAGAGGGCTAAACCAATTAAAGTCAGTGTCTCATCTCCAGTCAAACCTAGTTCACGTCATTAACTGCTTCCCTTTTTCTCCACTTTTTGCTAATTCGTGTCAAACTTTTTCCTGGGATCATGTCTTGTTTTTTATGAATGTTAATTTACCAGAAATCCAGGCAGTTTCCGGATCACCTTTCTGAAAATATCCCTGAAATACAAGAAGCCTAATAGTACAAAAAAAACTATATATTTACATTCTATTACAAATTTATTTAAATTCCTTTATTTTTTTTTGCCTCCTGAAGCATTTCAATAATATTAATGTTCCAGTATGCAACCACCTAACTCTACGGGAGAATGGACCGAAATTCATTGCGATTGGTTCGAAGAGATGCAAAATTATCAAGTAAATTTTCAATCGAATTTTGACCATTTCCATAAGCTATAAACTTTCAGAATAGTCTCTACAAAATCAATTTCGATGGATCGCCAATCGTTCCAATGTATGGACTTGTTTGCTCATTTGGAGCGCTCGCCAACTTTATTGTCCTTCTCGCATTCGCCAGAACTGCGAACTTGAGAAATTTGAGAAACAGTTTCATTGTCAATTTGGCATTCTCTGATCTGATACTTTGTGTGGTCACGGCTCCTGTCACACTTTATACTAGCCTTAATTTATTCTGGCCATTTGGAGACTGGTCTTGTAAATTTGTAAGTCTTGCAACATGTTTCAACAAACTTCTAAACTCTGAAATCATTTCAGCTCGCCGGTGTCCAGGCAGTAAACACATTTGTCTCCTCCCTGACCCTTGCTTTCATTGCAATGGATCGTGTTCTTCTGACATTGTGTCCAGTCCGATGGCGATTAGCTGCCACCGCTCCACTTCTGTGCTACGTTTTCGTATGGATCATTTCCATTATGGTCGCGTTACCGTATGCACTAGCAGTCAGCTCGAAACTTGCTCCATTTGATCCATGGAGTGATCGTGCAACACCGAAGATGGTAATAAATTATTATAAAAAGTCGAAATACTGAATCTGATGGTTTTTCAGCTAACCTACTGTAATCGCGAAGTTCCTGAAATCTGTGCCGAAATGCAAGAAGCATGGGACAACGCTATCGTTTCCAAAACCACATACACATTTGTGGTTCTTGCCATCCAATACATTCTTCCACTCGTTGCATTGGCATTCGCCTATTTCCAAATCGGCTCAACTATTCAGAAGAGATCGAAAGTGTCACGAACGGTAGATACAACTAGAAGAATGCAAATGCAGAACCGTAATAGAAGAGCTCTCCTTTTGCTGTTCTTGTTGGTCCTCACCTATGCAGTCTGCTGGGCTCCGATGAATATTTATCATGTTTTGAATGGTTTGGAAATCATCAACTACTCTCAAAATATGTATGTTTTGTTGGGAAATTTGTTTTTACAAATAAGTAATTTTCAGGTACATCTTCTGTCACCTAGTCGGAATCTCCTCAACCTGTGTTAATCCAATTGTCTATGCTCTAGTCAACGAGTCGTTTAGAAACGCTTTGCAATCCATGGTGAGTGCGAACTGTTTCAAAAAGTTTAAATAGCCAAAGTTAGATTTTTTAGGATGGTGTCTAACTTTTCCATTTTACAGATTCTCCAATTCCGTCCATGTTATGTAACCACTACGGGTACAGCTGCCACTAACGTGTACGCTTATTCCGCCACATCCAAAGCTGAAAATGTCACTTTGGTCAGTTCTTATTTTTGAAGTTTCGAATTTTCGGAATAGTACGATAACCCATTCAAAATTATGTATTCGTACATTTCCAGATGCGCGACCCATTCTCAACTACTACACGTCCAAACGAACGCGGTGATAATGTTTAAAGGGATTCGGTTTTTCATTTTGTCCATATTTCCTTGGGTCGATTTTTTGCTATCTAATAATCTCTTGCTATTGTTTACTTCTTCGGGTGTCCAGCCAAACTCTCACTCTCCAATGTTCCATTTTATTGAATGTTGCCAAAAAATCAATGAATTTGTTTTTTTAAACTTCTACAACAACAAAAGTATTTATCTGAAACCTGACACTATGAGAATGTGAACATGCGAAATCTTTTCAGGAAAAACTACACCAAAACGAGTTTGGATAAAAGGAAATAGGAAAGAAGTCTCATCACATTTCATAAAGGTGAACTCTTGGCCTAACCAATTTTTATTGCATTGCACTTTCCTAGAATCGATATGTCATCATGTCACGGCTATCTTATCATTCTATGTCTCTGCTCTCTTCTCTGTTGTTTTTTTTGTTGCGTTCGTTATCTATTCGGTTTTCATAAACGGAATACTGCTGAGTACGCATTACATGATTTTTCCAATTTTCTGTTCGTTGAAACTATTTTTATCTAACTTTTCATTATATAAATTCCAGCCAATTTTCAGATAGTATGCAACAATTATTAATTACTATACTTAGTCTTATACTATTTGCTGATGGGGCAATAGTAAAAACGTCGTTCGGCAGTGTTGAGGGAACGGATGTTGAAAATTTCCGTTCATTCAGAAAGGTTCCATTTGCTAAACCTCCAATTGGAAAACTGAGATTTCAAAAACCAGAAAAACCGGATAAATGGAAAGGAATATTGAATGCCAAAGGTAGTTGTTTTATATGAAGATGTTTCTTTCTACTAGAAGAATTTCAGAATATGGACCAGCCTGCATGTCCAACTCTTCTACTACTTCTAGTCCTCAAAAATGGGTGGACGAAGATTGTCTTCATGTAAATATCTTCACTTCTGAGAATTGTTTAGTAAGATTATTTTTTGAAAATTATAATAATTCGATATTGAACTTCAGAAATCCAAAAATTGTGCAGTTATAGTTTATATTCATGGCGGAGAAATGTTGTATGATTCTGCTGTCATGTTCAATGATACCGTCATTTTTGATGCGTTTGCGAGTCGAGGTACAAAACTTATAACCATCAAACTCGATTTTTAAATTCTTATAAATCCCGCTTTTCCTTCAGATGTAGTTCTTGTTATCCCTGCTTTCCGTCTTGGAATCTTCTCACATTTCGTTGTGAAAGATCAGAGTGTTGCTCCAAACAATCTTGGATTATTCGGTACGTTTTTCATCATCGAATTCGATTTTCAAAACTAGAAACTTGTAGACATTGTTCATGGTTTGGAATTCGTCAAATCAGAAATTCACCACTTCGGAGGGAGCAACAAAAATATTACATTGTTAGGGCATTCTTATGGTGCACATGTTGTCTCTACACTACAGTTTAGTACGAAAGTCAATAGGGATATGAGGTGGGGGTTTCAAAAGAAACATCTGAAAATTAAAAATAATATGTATTTCCAGTCTTTTCCAAAAGTCTGTGAGTATGTCCACAGTACTGTACTTTGACACTTTTGAACTCCAAATTGAGAAGACAAAACGATTTGTGGATCATGCCAACTGCTCTGTCCCTCTAGGATTGACTAAAAAACTTTCTGAAAAGCAACATGACTATTTAGTAATGAAATGTCTGCAAAAGAAAGATGCGTTGGAATTGCTCAGGTTAGTTGAGTAAACCATCCCTGCAAGTTTCCTTATTGCATTCAGAATCCAACGAATTCTCGAAGACGCTGGATTCCCAGCTTACGATGGTCACATTATTCGAGAGCCTCTTATCCAGGAAGTTTCATTGGCTCAACTATTCGAAACGCCACAAAAGATGCCAACAATGGTAGGATGCACATCTTTAGAACTTGATAAGTTCATGGCATATCATGACATCTCCAAGGCAATGGGATATAAAAACTATGAGGAATGTGATGAAAAGTATAGAAGAGACAAGAAAAAAAAGAATTTCGGTTGGTTAATATTTTACTGGAAAAAGTAGATTTCAAATGTTCTTAGATTTCGAGGGACATGCCGACGAAACCCTTGCAATTATTGCTCAAACACAGTTGAAAACAAACAAGCTGCTAGAAAATAAGGTTCCGGTAAGTTTAAAAACATTCCTTGTCCCTGGTTGATCACACTTCTTTAGACATACCTCTACGAGTATTCTTACCCGAAACATGCATCTCACACTGACGACCTTTCATATCTTTTTGGTGTTCATTCTTTTGAACAAGATGAAAACGAAGCTCACTTATCAGAAGTGTATAGGAACATGTTCGTTAACTTTGCAAAGTACGGAAACCCCGGGAATGGTTTCATCAAAACAAATCTGGAGAACTCGTCATATTTTGATGTCTACTGGAACGAAAACACCGGAGCAAGACCAACAATGAAAGATGGATTTGAAAGAAAGGTCAGTGTTATAATTTGGGGAAGAAGTTTCCCAATTAATATATTCTAGATGAACAACTACTTCCTTGGAGAAATGGTGGAGTTTGACAGAAATGTAACCGCCTTTAAAAAATCAAAAAGTGTCAAAGTTCCAACTGCAAGATTCTTCAATGAAATATCCGATCATGATCAACTGCCCTATATGTACATCAGTCTGCTCTTGATTTCTTTGATCTTCTTTACTGGATGTATTGTTGGCAAGATTTGCTGCACTGGACCCAATGAGAGGCACCTTTATATTCAATTGGATGGGAACGATCATGATTGGACCACTGTAAAAAACTTTTGAAAAATGGAAACTCCAGTTATCACTTCATGAAATAGATATTTCTCTTTATGTACTTTGATGCTTTTATGATTGTACGAGTTTGTATTTTCCATTTTATTTTGAGACTCTTCATAAGGACCCGAATTATTAAAAATGAATGTTTTTACAATTTCCTACAAATACTGGTATAAAGATGTCTAACAAGTTCCAATCCATGATAAGTTAAATGATCGATTTGAGTCATGTAACTCAATCCACTATTCTTCACATCATAATATCTCCATGTTTCTGTTGTGGTATTCCATAACAATGGTTTATAATCTATTGGAACACATCTTTTACATTCTTCGATAAGCTTGGCATGCCGTCGACGTGCTGAATCTGGAGATGTGTGAACAAAGGTCTTCTGAAATAAAAATTAATTGACTCGATAGATCAAAAAAATCGTTACATCAAATTTCACTAGATCCTTCCCACTTTTCACAACTGACACTATTTTTGCAACATTTTCATGTTCAATCTCTGGTATTGAAGTCAGAATGAACATTTTGTGTTTGACATGCTTCATAATTTTCTCTGTCTGATTTTTCATGGATTGGTAAATTGGATCATCTTCCACATTTGTAGCATTTACATTATCAGATATATCTATGAATCTGAAAGGTGAAAATCTCGACATCTCTGTATTTTTGAAACTAATCACCTCGACAACAGAAATACATAGTCTGGTTTTTCTGCCGCGACTCTCTTCTCAAATATTTTCACATTATCTTTGCATCTTTGTCCTCCGTAGTTGTACGCGTATAACGGATCACATCCTTAAAAATCATGATGATATCTCATGCCACCCAGAAACTTACCGATCGCAGATCCTTGTAGAATACTTTTCGCTTTGTATCCACATTCCTCATAGATAATTCGAGCGTGATTTGCAGCCCAGCTGTTGCCAATTATCATAACCTTGTATTTTCCTTTCAGACTCTAAATGAAGAAGCTCTTTGAAACATTATCTAGATCCATACCTTATGACTGCACCATCCAAATGGACCTTGTCCCGATTCGTATTCACAAGTAGCATGTATTAAATTTTTAATATCTTTTTTTGACCATTTGCTGTTCAGATGCTCTGCTTCATCTGTAAACCAGGTTCTCATTGTACGGCGCGAGCTACTGAAACTACCAAAATTATAAGTTCTATTTCCATTCAACCCATCTAGTCTTTTGAAGTTTCCAGGTTGTCTATTGGCTAGCCAGTCTTCGATTTCATTTTCGTTCAGCGCCAGAACGTTTATGAAAAACAGAATAAAACAGATTGAAATCATTGGGAACCAAGATAGCTTGAGATACCATCTGAACAAAGGATACAATTTGTTCAAAAGAAAATATATTACTTTTCGTAACATTCATAGCTTAGCACTGAGATTAAAACTGCGAGAACAAAAATCAACCCAAGTTGACAATTCCATAAAGCACTATTACTCATAACCAGTTTCCAATAAGCATACATTGGCCAGTGAATTAGATACAAAGAATATGAGATATCACCAATATATGTCAGAATTCGAGATGATAACATCTTGTTATTTTCAGGTATCATTATCAGGATTCCCGTCGCAATTGTGAAAAATGGTCTGAAACTATTTTTCCAAAAGTTTCAAAAACGCTTCGAACCTCAAGACTTTGTCGGGAAGCTCTCTTGAGTACATCACTATCAAGATCATGCCAAAAATCAACAAATATTTTAGCATGTTTTCTATTTTTCCCACGAAACTGGATTGCAATATTCCATTTTTCTCGTTCCATTGAGATATTCTCGAATCTGTTATTTTGAATGTGATCATTCCTAAAAAATATCAATCAGATTCCTTTGCTGGTCTTCCTTACCAATCATAAACTGCCAAACTCTGGCAAACATACTATTGAACGCTTGGTTGTCAGAGCATAAAAATATGGAGTACCAATAGGATATTAAACCTGAATCTAATATTAATAGACTAGTTACTAACCGAATAGTTACCAAAAACTCCGTAAAACAGAACTTGATAATTTTCTTTGAAGCATTTATATGCAAACAAGTACAAAATCGGAACAATGATATAGAACTGAACTTCAACAGAGAGGGACCATGTATGCGTGAAGATGTCAATAGCGATATCCAGCTGAAAAAAGAAATGAGTGAACCACTGATAAAGTTGAAACTGAAACCATTGTGAAATAATCTTCTTCCTGTGTTGCAACCCTGTTCGATATAAACAACAAAGATTTTCTGCCGGATTCCAAATTTGTTTCGTAAGCAGTATCCGGAAATATTCTGATTAAAGCTATCAATGATAACAGAATGACTAGAAGATATAGCGGTAATATCCTTTTCAATCGTTTGTAATAAAACTGAAACGTTAATTTGAGGCTTGAAACCAGTTGGATTGACTCCTTCTCGGTTAAACTTTTTGATGATCTTTGGAGTAACATGCACATCAAGAAACCGGATAGTACGAAGAACCTGAAAATATGTTGACTGGTTTTTATATCATTCAATTTCCACGAAACAAACTGTGTCTTCAAAAGACGAATATGCCTGCCTTCAAGACTTCAAAAAACCTTTAGAATCAGATAAAATACAATATCTGATTCTGAACATTCAAATCTAGACTGGAAAACGGCTAGAGATTTTTGCCGACGATATATTCGGGTATTTTGATATACGAATAGCAAAAAATGAATATTCAGTCAGATGTGGGGAAAAAGGAGAAACAAAAATTAGCAAAAGTTTCAGTCTTCTGCCGATACCTTAAATGCTCTAATACAGTACACCCTATATGTATACTTTGAGCTCAATTATCCAGGTTCCTTTAAAAGATAACAACAAAATTTTAACTGAGAAATTAATTATCACAATGTCACTAATGTTTTATCTGTTGGCACATGTCCGTTAGGAACGGAGATCATTGAGCTTAAATAGCACCTAAAGCTTGAGACGATTTGAAATTTGAAACTTACTGATCAACTCCCAAATATCCATTCGGGAAAACTGTTGGAAAGAAATGAAAACAAAGGACTGACAGTATTGCAATTCCTCTGATTCCTTGTAAATCCTGTCGTTTCTTCTTCAATTCTTTCTTCTTCTTTTTGAAAGTTGGATTGAGCAGTAGAGAAGAATCATCACTTTCTTCAGGAATAGAAACTGTAGTTATACACGACGACGGAAAATTATGAGAAGTTGTAGTAGGAATACAGATCGTAGAGGTGGTCATAGTTCTCTGAACAAAATATCTAACAAATGGAATCGAACATCTTTCTATAGTCTCTAGACACCTGAAAGAAACAACGAATTTTATTTTCAATTTTTGAAAACGGAGATCATAGAGATAAACGGAGATCCTAGAGATACACGGAACAACATTTAGCCTTTTTTTGCACCTTAGACCTTTCTCAACACTAGAATTTCTCAAGATTCTAGAATGACACTTTTGAAAGTCCATATAATGGACTGCTGATTGTTATTAGATTAGTTTTCAGAGTATTCTCGATGATATGTATTAGACATCTTGCACCACAAAGTGTTAAGCCTATATTAGTTTTTATGTAAAAAATATTGACAAAGAGTCAAGAAATACTTTAATTCGAAAACCTCGGAAGTTTGGCGACTAAGAGAAAGACAACATACTCTGTTTCTAACTATGGGAATGGAAATAACAGGAGAGGGTTTGAATTTTATAAAATTTTATTATTAGGGTAAATATTAAAAAATAACAAAAAACAGAAAACATTTAACGGTACTTGGTCTGGTAACGTCCTCTCTTGGCTTTTGGCTGCTCTAGCTCCTCCCACAATCCACTGGATTTTGCTTTTTGAGCTTCAGCGATTCTTTGGTTTCGAGCCTCCATCAACATCTGCTTGACACTCTTCACTCCTTCTTCTGCTTTCTTTTCGGCCTCTTTCTTCACTTCACGTCGTACCCTCATCATTCTCTCCATTCGATCTTTCTCTGTTTTTTTCACTTCTGGCGATGTTTTGGTTGGAGCGGAAGTTGGAGCATTCTTGAAGTTAGATGAAGACGTGGTGGTCACTGGTTTCGATCTTGGCACAAACTTCGCTGGATTCGTTCTTTTGGAGGCAATCAGTCCCATCAGTTCGTCATACGAAGGCGGCGAATAGGATGACGTTCTCTTTGAGTTGAGGACGAGATCAGTTCTTTTTTGCATCATGGTGTTACGAGATTCAGAAGGAGTGACACGACGTACGAAATTCTTTTCATGTTGAACAGAAGTTGGATGTATGGATGGCAGGCAAGAAGACGATCCAGTCATATTGCTTGGCACTGGTTGAGAATTCTTCGGCTTGGAAATCGGTTCGGTGGAATTTGTAGAAGATCCACTAGACGAAAATGATTCCATACTCCAACCACGCTTACGGCTCTTCTCATTCGCTTTCATTGACCCCTTCTGTTCCATACTATTGATCTTTCCAATCACTCTTCGCGCCATATTTCCGACTTGTGGACAATGAATGTATCTGGTAACCAACTCCTCGATCTTCTCTTCCTTCAGCATGGAGAGCGGGTAGTTTTGTTCCAGAAGAGTCTGGAGACCGGAAGGCACTGTGTTGAGGGCAGAGTCCAGATCGTAGGCGATGACGGCCACTTGATCACACATATCATTGTCAGTGAAGGACATATTGTCGAGTTGTTTTTGAGTTTTAGGGATCTGGAAAAAATACGATTGGTTAAACGAATTAGAGGATGGTGAAGAGAGAAGAAGAACAATATTAGAAAATATTCTAAACTTTAGAAGACTTGATTCTGAGGGTACAGGCATCTAGAAAAAATCGATTCGGTAGAAAAGTACTGTAATAAAGTAAAAAGGAAATGGGAGAGAACCGGATGAAAATGAGGAATTAATGACTAACTATCCAAAAATATTTCCTACGTTAGGTAAGGGGCGGGGCTTAGCTAATCATTAGGCTCCACCTCCAGGGGAAATTATGGTCCCTGGGAAAGTGAGAGAAATAGTATGAGAAAAGGAGAGTGAGACAGGGTCAAGAGGAATAGGGAGAAGTAAAAGATAAGAAAGACAAGGGGATGGGGGATCCAGATATCAGAGAATTTGGAAATGTTTGAATATTTTATATAGGAAAGAGGATATTTCAAATGTTTTCAAATGCATGTTTTTTTTTCACAAATCCAGACCGGACTTGACCATCAAGAACGTAAAAAGTGGTGACTATTTCAAATATTTAGGAAAAACAGAGATGTTAGAACCTGAATGATCAAACATTCATTATGCTGTTTTACATTCTTACCATTCATATTGTCTAATGAGTAAAAAGTAAGGCCCGGAATTATATAATCGTGCGTTGAGTCTCAGGATGTTAAGGATTACTGTAGTAAATGCTTTTTGAAAATGCAGTAATCAAATTATTAGCTTCACACTCTAGAATATGAACTATTAAGACAACATCCGCAAATGGAAATCTAAAAAAATGAAGAATTCAGAAATCTGAAATTTGAGAATTTATCTGAAAAAAGTCCAAACGATGTTCAAACGAGTTAAAAAATAACTTCAGAGTTTGGATTCAAAAAAGTCATCACAACCCTTCGAACATGTGGCCGATCATTTGATCTTCCAAAGTCATTTTTCCTGATTTAAAAAATTTTCGAATTTCGATTTTTTAGTTCCTGGAGATCCAGTCATTTCAGAATTTTGTTTCGATAACCACTTCAGGGAATACCAAAGTGATCCTTCGGGATTTTTGAGTTTGAAATTTTTTCTCAATTTTCCAACTGGTAAGCTTCAGAATTTTACTTTTCTGGAGATGACTGTGAGAGGATTTCTTTATGAATACTACCCATTCTATCTTTCACTTTGTACAATAAAATGTTTCAATTTTCCAGATGAGACGTATGTAGATGACTGTGAAAGATTTTGTAAAGTACCGAAATTTTTGTTATATCGATTTTGGGTAATAAAAGTTTACGACTATTTTTATGATTAGGGCTAATAATAAGGAAACTTTATCGATTTATTTATGATTGTACTGAGTGTTTTCTAGTATCCGAAACAGAGTATCCACCAAAAGTAAACATATTATAAATAATACCCTTCGTAAGTTTGAAATCCCTCAACATTCCCGATCACCGGCCATAAAACTCCCAGTGTTCAGAATACTCAGCTTCACCTAGTCTTAAAAATCATATAACAATTATAGAATACATAAGAAATCAAAGGGACGGTCAATTTTACCATCTGGTTGTGCCTGCACCTTGTACCAATGTTCAGACGGAATATGATGAAAATGTAGACAGACTTGTGCTCCTTGGAAAAAGATATTCCAGTTTCATTTTCATTGTTAGCCAAGTCCTCTCAACCTATTTCCCAGGACCTCATCTACACTCTCATCATATTCCGTTTGAACATTGGTATAGGGTGAAGCCAGAACCAGATGGTAACATTGATTGTTACTTTGACCTACTATTCTGTATAATTGATGTATGGTTTTTAAGACTATATGAAGATTAGTGTTCTGAAAACTGGGAGTTTGATGACCGGATATTGGGAAGAATGAGAGATTACAAAGGTAACAATTGCACTGTAGATACAATGTTTTGAATGTCAAAAAACACTCATTACAGTCATAAATAATACTGTGTTCTTATTATTAGACCAAACCATAACAACAATGGTCGTAAACTTTTATTACCCAAGATCGATGGAACAAAAAATTCAGTACTTTATGAAATCTTTCGCAGCCATCTACATACGTCTCATCTGGAAAATTGAAACATTTTATTGTACAAAGTGGAAGATAGAATGGGTAGTATTCATAAAGAAATCCTCTCACAGTCATCTGCAGTATCAGTTGGAAAATTGAGAAAAAAATAGTTTCAAACTCAAAAATCCCGAAGGATCCCTTTGGTATTCCCTGATGTAGTTTTTAAAACAAAATATTGAAATAACTGGATCACCAGAAACTCAAAAATTCCAAATTGAAAAATTGAAAAAATTCAAGAAAAATAACTTTGGAATTTCAAAGGATCGGCCACATGGTCGAAGGGTTATGAGGACTTTTTAAAATCCAAACTCTGATGTTGTTTTTTAACTCGTTTAAACATCGTTTGGACTTTTTTTTCAGATAAATTCTCAAGTTTCAGATTTCCATTTGCGGTTGTTCTCTGTACAGTTCAGATTCTAGAGTGTGAAGCTAATAATTAGATTATTGTATTTTCGAAAATCATTTACTACAGTAATCCTCAACATCCCGAGACTCAACGCACTTTTATATGATTCCAGACCTTACTTTTTACTCATTAGACAATATGAATGATAAAAAAGTAACACAGCGTAATAAACTTTGGATCATTGAGATTCTAACATCTCTGTTTTTCCTAAATATTTGAAATAGTCGACACTTTGCATTTGAAAACATTTGAAATATCCTCTTTCCTATATAAAATATCCACACATTTCCAAATTCTCTGATATCTGGATCCCCCATCCCATTGTCTTTCTTATCTTTTACTTCTCCCTATTCCTCTTGACCCTGTCTCACTCTCCTTTTCTCATACTATTTCTCTCACTTTCCCAGGGACCATAATTTCCCCTGGAGGTGGAGCCTAATGATTAGCTAAGCCCCGCCCCTTACCTAACGTAGGAAATATTTTTGGATAGTTAGTCATTAATTCTTCATTCTCATCCGGTTCTCTCCCATTTCCTTTTTACTTTATTACAGTACTTTTCTACCGAATCGATTTTTTCTAGATGCCTGTACCCTCAGAATCAAGTCTTCTAAAGTTTAGAATATTTTCTAATATTGTTCTTCTTCTCTCTTCACCATCCTCTAATTCGTTTATCCAATCGTATTTTTTCCAGATCCCTAAAACTCAAAAACAACTCAACAATATGTCCTTCACTGACAATGATATGTGTGATCAAGTGGCCGTCATCGCCTACGATCTGGACTCTGCCCTCAACCCAGTGCCTTCCGGTCTCCAGACTCTTCTGGAACAAAACTACCCGCTCTCCATGCTGAAGGAAGAGAAGATCGAGGAGTTGGTTACCAGATACATTCATTGTCCACAAGTCGGAAATATGGCGCGAAGAGTGATTGGAAAGATCAATAGTATGGAACAGAAGGGGTCAATGAAAGCGAATGAGAAGAGCCGTAAGCGTGGTTGGAGTATGGAATCATTTTCGTCTAGTGGATCTTCTACAAATTCCACCGAACCGATTTCCAAGCCGAAGAATTCTCAACCAGTGCCAAGCAATATGACTGGATCGTCTTCTTGCCTGCCATCCATACATCCAACTTCTGTTCAACATTAAAAGAATTTCGTACGTCGTGTCACTCCTTCTGAATCTCGTAACACCATGATACAAAAAAGAACTGATCTCGTCCTCAACTCAAAGAGAACGTCATCCTATTCGCCGCCTTCGTATGACGAACTGATGGGACTGATTGCCTCCAAAAGAACGAATCCAGCGAAGTTTGTGCCAAGATCGAAACCAGTGACCACCACGTCTTCATCTAACTTCAAGAATGCTCCAACTTCCGCTCCAACCAAAACATCGCCAGAAGTGAAAAAAACAGAGAAAGATCGAATGGAGAGAATGATGAGGGTACGACGTGAAGTGAAGAAAGAGGCCGAAAAGAAAGCAGAAGAAGGAGTGAAGAGTGTCAAGCAGATGTTGATGGAGGCTCGAAACCAAAGAATCGCTGAAGCTCAAAAAGCAAAATCCAGTGGATTGTGGGAGGAGCTAGAGCAGCCAAAAGCCAAGAGAGGACGTTACCAGACCAAGTACCGTTAAATGTTTTCTGTTTTTTGTTTTCTAATTTTTGTTTCTAATAATAAAATTATATAAAATTCAATATCTGTTGTTTTTCGAATTACCACAGAAAGTAATGAAACAAATTGTTTCCCTTCTCAGCTGTAAGATTCAGAATCCGAGCTCATCGTGAAAGATATAAAATCTATTTTTAAGTATATCGTTTTTCTATTGGCCATGATCGGAATAGTTATCCTAATTGTAAAAATAAAAATACAGAGTGAATCATTTGAAATTTTTCTCTGAAAATTAAGGATTACATCTCGCTAGCGTCCAATTCTGCAAAAAAATTATTTTTTTTTGCAGAGAAGATTCTTCAAAGACGAGTTATGTAAAATTTGTTCTTATTCATCGGTTTGTCATCGGTTTGTCATCGGGTTTAAAAATAATTCTCAAATATTAGGTTTCAAACTTGCTTTTTCGTCGCGAAACAATAATTGAACAGAATTTTGACTTTTCGTTTCAAATCCTTCTTGAACGCTCGCATGCATGCGCCTTTAAACTACAGTGCACTTGTTTCTGACTTTGTGGCGAGAGCTCAGAGAAGATGCATGAATTTCATTCTGTAAAAAGAAGATGAAAAGAGAAGAGATCAAAAAGCATGTACAAGCAAAGTGTGAGATGTGACAGAAGAGATTCGAAAAAAATGAATTCGGTAATAAATGCTTTTGAAGCAATAAACGTCAAACTACTAGACAATACTACGGTAGGCAAAGGATATTCAGGCATGAGCAATTGTTTCAAGTGTCCATTGTTCAATGTCGTTCACTGCTTTTGTGGCTTCGTGGAGTTCGCTGTGGAAGTTGAGCATTGCGTGGAAACCGTTTTCATAGTGGATTGCTTTTGTTAGGACGCCGGATGTCTGGAAATGAATTAAGAATGAAACTAGAATTTAATGAAATAGAAATTTATAGATATTGTAATAGCTAATAGTAAGCTTCAGGGGGAAAAAATTCAAAGCTCACCTTTAATCTATGCGCATAAATGAGTCCTTCGTCCCTCAAAATATCAAATTCGCATGTGATAACCATCGTCGGAGGGAGATTCGACAAGTCCTCTCTCATCAACGGCGAAAAGTCTGGATTTGCCAAAAACGGCTCCAGCAACTCTTGTGCCTCAACACTCCATTCTACTTCTGAAATCTCAGAGACACTGTGATTCTTATAGTTGTGGACCGACTCGATGACAGATTTATGGGAGAGCATCTGAAAGTGTTCTGGTTTACATGGAGAGCGTTTTCAAGCGTACCTTCTGAACATGAGGTCTGAGACGTCTTGGAATATGTCCATTGGAAGTCACACTCGGAACCAAATAAGCCTTCTCATCCATATCAATTCCAGCATAAAACATGTAATAAAAAGCCACAGATTCTGGATCCACAAGAGCATATCCTTGTAGTCTGGAACGAAAGTATCGGTACGAAATAGATTGCATGTCAGCCATTTGAAGAAGTGGATAGATCAGAACTTGGCCAGCCAATTTTGGTGAAGCTTGACGTGCTGCCCGTCTTTGTGTGATTACTGTAGCCAAGTTCCCACCGGCTGAATCTCCCATAATGACAATTTTCGAAGTGTTGACTCCAAATTGTCTTGGTGCATACTTGAAGAAGTGGTCGATGGCTGCTTCACAATCCATGATTCCTCCAGGAAATACAGTTTCTGGGGATAGGCGATACTCGATGGAAATGAACAATGTTTTCATCTCAACCGTTAATCTTCCAATCAACGAATCATACATATCCACGTTGCCAAGTGCAAATCCACCTCCATGGATGAATATCACAGCTCCGTCGGGGTGGTTCTGTTGTCCAACGGGCGATAGGATTTGACGGGTGTTCCATTCCAATTGTGCCATTTGATTTCTAGTTGATCATTGGTTGTGAAGATTCCCAGAGTCTTGGTGAGAACGTTCAGTGTTTCACGTGTCCAGAAGATCATGTCGCTGGCTTTCGAGAACATTCGGCTCTGAAAAAAATGGTTGTTCGAATACGACTTGGAACTGTGAAAACTCGATTTTTCAAAACCTTGAAACAGAGAAAAATAGATCAAGTTCTAAAGTTTGAAAGTTTAGAATTATAAGTTTACGAATCCAAAAAATGCTTGAAATAAAAACCAACCGGGTAATAATATGCAACTCGGAGTGCCGGCTCAACGACATGCATCACGACTCGATCCCATTTAGTAATCGTAAATCCTTCGGGAAGCGGTTTGTAAAGACATCCAGTGGTTAGCAATACAAGTCCAATTATCAGAATTCCAATGAGTTGCCGCCTTCTGGATGGCTCCTTTTCTGCTTTGAGCATCATTTTTCGAGTAATTTGTTAGTAGTAGAAGTTGACTGTATTTGTACAGGAAACTATTTACAGAAGATTTAAGGATGAGGGATGGAGGCTGAAAATTAGAAAACGATTGGGTTGGGAAAAGGAGAAATCAAAAGAAAAAGAACAGTAACAAAGAAAGATTATTGTGTCATTAAACGAGAAAAAGAAGAAGAAGAATGACTGGTTTGAATTGAGGAAACGATTCTCACTTTCAGAAGCGCGCGCGGGAAATTTTTTTTGGTAGATCAAAAATTTTTACGATCTCCCTATTATTTTTTCAGATTGAAGAAGATTTCTCAGTTTATCCTGTAAACTCCGTCCATTATCGCTTCAGATCATCCGAATCCATCCGACATAGAAGATCACAAAGTTGAACTGTTATATTGGAGCGCTATTGGAGCTAGTTGATCAAAGATCCCAGAGTGAGAGCAACCATAAACTAAAAAATTACTTTTTTTGTAATTTATTTCCTTGTTTTTTACTATCTTTTTGTCGATTTTCCTGTTATCTTTCCCTAAAAGTCGAAAAAATCGACTGGAAACAAAAAATAAATCCTGAAAACTATTTTTTCGGTTACTGTAGTTGTCGCTGTGGGACCGTCTTTCACGGTCAATGGTATAAAAAAATGTTTTTATCTGGAAAAGTTTTTCACAGAAAACGAGAAATTGCTCCGAAAATGCCAGAGAACTGCATTCAGAGGAATACTTCGTTTTTTCTCCACTTTTCTTCACATTGTCTGGCTTCTGGCAATTAAAAAAAGTTCCTACTCAAAATGAACCCAATTGCAATGCGGATCAATTCGGAGATTCTATCGTTATTTCGAAAGATTGATAAAGTCATTGAGATCGCTCTGACAGCAAAAACTCTACGAAAAAAAAACAATACAAAAAGTCCGAAAATTCTTAATTCCCGGTCCACGACATCCTTTTTGGTCAAAATTTCTGAACTTTCTGTTCAAAGTGACTGCGTCATCAGTTTCAGAGATTAAGCGAAAAAACACACAATTTTTAATAATATAACAAGTAGTGATTTTCAAAAGTTTTAATTTTTAGAAAAATATTCAGAAAGTGTTAATATTTCTGTTATATTTGTTGAAAAAACACATTGCTCCCAAAAACTTAACGGTCCATCTTTTGGGAGATTCAAAGGATTCACGTGGCTCACAAAAATTTTTGAAATTTCAGTACTTTGATGTGAAAATTAAAACTTTTGAAATTCACTGCTTGTTATATGTTTCATTACAGTATTACAGTAGAATTAACACAATGCAAATCTTTCGGAAAATGTGTCCTTATTTTTTCATCAATCGATTCACAAAACACTGGATGAAGTTTATACAGGTACTCCACTTTACGGATAACCCGTTCTTCCAGCTTTCTGGAAAATTCTGGGTCCATTTGTGTGATATTGTATGGCTTGAAAATAGAAATCCAAGATCCAGAAAGACTTGAAGAGGCAGTTGTTCGGTAATGTCGAATGTATCCTTCCTGACGTTTTGCTGTCTTTACACGACATCCTTCATGTTGTCGGATAGTCCAATGAAAGTGAATTGCATGAGTTTTCGCTGGCTGGAAGAGTGATTTGAAAGCTCCCCATCGATGTGTTATTGTCAAATTATTCCGATAGAAGGATAGAGAAGAACGAGTGTAGTTTGTAGAAATATACTTTTCAGGATCATCGTATTTTTTCTGAATTCGACGAATCCCGAAATTAATCTCGCATGTGTTTGGATCCTGCTGACTAAAAATACAGGGTGGGAAGAATTTTGGTTTGAGATTTGATCTTACTTCAAAAAGCTCAGCAATGGTACTTTTGTCATAACCAATCTCTCATCAATATCGATTCCAATTACCCATTTTGAATGAAACTTACTGCGGAAGAAACATTCCGGAAATAAATGAGATCAAATGTAGAAATAGTGAAAGTCTTACATGAACTTGAATCATATGAAAAAGCCAGTTAATTTTTTCATATTCTATATTTACAAATGTTGCTTCAATTTGTCCGAGTCGTTGATAATCTTCGATTGTTCGTTTAGTGTACCCATCCATTTCCAGAATAGTGAAATAAAACATATTAGCACCCATTAATTTATGATGCTCTACGTATTCAATGATCTCTAACCATTTCTTCTCATCGCCATAAATTTGACCAACACATACTCCGACCTCGTGTGGTGGATCTGAAAAGCATCAGTGTTCCAAAATCTGTAATTTTAAAAATTTACATTCAAACATTCGATTTAATAAAGGAATTGGTTCTTCTTTGGGTGACAATTCCTTTTCGAAACCCAACGAAACATATTGAGCTCCCTCTCGTCTTGGACAATGAACTGCAGTCATTGGAAAGACAAACGATTGAAATCTTGTACCAGGGAGTTCATTTCGGTTGCAATCGTAGTAAAAACAGTAAACACCTTTTCCTACGCCTTTGGGATTTTCAGCTGTATGCGTTACTACAATGTATCCTTCATAAAGAAATGCAGTTAAAAGACGAAGCTGTCCATCGGATAATCCTTCAGATCCTGTTACTTTTTTATCAGCAAAGTATCTATAAAGATCGTAGAATGGGAAACTTTTTGTCGTTTTGTTGTTCCAACTCTCAACACGACAAATGGGAACAGAGGAAAAACTGAAATAAGGATAGTTTTCAGCATTTATGTTTTTGCAACTCACTTGTCATAATTTATATATGGATCATAGTGTACTACAGTAACTTCATTCAGTGGTTCCTCTGAAGTTGTAATTAATAGATATGACTGAAACGTTAGATGATATACCTGTTCTGGACCCAACTAAATATCCAATCAGAAATATGAAAATCCAAAAAATGATAAGAAAAACTACAAAATTTATAGTACTCCTCCCACTGGTCTTAATTTCAGAGCGAATCGGTTCTCCATCAGAGAATAGCCTGGTGTGTTCCATTGAAAAATAGAATTGAACTCACAGATCAAAAAGCTCGATTTTATACAGACTATCGGATCTCGAAATCTTTTCGATTTCTCAAGAAAAAATTTTGAAGCAATCGGGATCGTTTAGGCCAATTGAATTTTTCGAAAAAACCTGTCGATTCTTGAACATTGTTCTCGTTTTCTCTTGAAGAAAAAAAAATAGTATTTAAGGAAACCAGTGTCATTTGTGAGATATTTTCCCAGGATGCAGCTTTTAGTCAGCAAAATAACAAAGCAAGGATGTTGTAAAAAGTGTGAGGTTTTAGTGAAAGTGAAGTAGTAATCTCCTGAATGGTCCATTTACAGTTTTACAGCTGGTTCATAACCACTGGACTCAATTTGTGCTTCTAGTGTCAATTGATTCTGTTTTTTACGTTGAGTCATATGATGTTCAGAAAATTATGTCATACCATTTTTTACGTGATTTCCTTCTTTTCTTTAAAAATAATGTGACCTCCGTGAAAGCCTAACAAAATGAGGGCAACGCCCAGGGTTAAGAATAATACGGGAAAATTAGTATTGAGTTTCCAACGTTCAAGTTTCAGGATCTTGCAGAATCTTCTAGGTTTTTAGGATGTACAGAATTTTAATCAAGAAAACGGAAAAGGCAAAGGTGAGAAAACGGGAATTGGTAAAGTTTCAAAACTTTCAAGTTGCAGCGGATGTTTGGACGTCATGACCAATTTCGAGGACTTCGAGGACAGTTTCCAGCGCTGGGATTGGCACGATTCAAATCAGGACCATAGGTGCAACGGAACATAATGGAAGGTAAGAAAATAAAAATTTTTCAAGTTTCGAAATTTTCCCGGCTTCGGAAATCCTATCTTCGAGGAAATCGAGGATTCGGGAGCAAAAAAGGTAAATCGTTATTTAATTTCAGATGTTCAAGTGGCAGAAACTGCTTGGTGCTTGGTGCAACATTCTAAGGATTAGTCGGATTCACGTTAAGATGACAGAAGTAGCGGAACACAATGAAAAGTTCCCTCATATTCTCAGGGAATTTTTCGGCAAGTTGCTGCCCAATATTAGCAAGTTGCTAACTCGAAAAAACTGCTTGCCGCTGACAAACGGCAAGCAGTTTTTTCGGGTCAGCAACTTGCTTTTTCATATTGTCGGATTAAAAAAAGTGACACCTGAAAATCTCGGAGACGGCGCTCGTGTCGATTTACGAGGGGGCGGAGCGAAAACGGATACTGTAGATAAAAAATTTATTTATGTGAATTTAGTGGGATTTTCTGATCAAAATTTTGAAATTTCTTGATATAAAAATGATCGCTAGCATCTCTAGAATCTATTTTTCAGCAAAAAACTAAACTTAAACGCGAAAGTAGCTCGAACGAGGCGGAAATCTGAAATATTACGTTTTTGCCGCACTTTTTCGTAGATCAAAAAAATCAAAAGTTTTCAAATTCTCAGGTGTCACTTTTTTAATTCGACAATAGAGCAAGTTGCCGTTCTTCAGGAAATCTAGATGGCAACTTGCCGAAATAAGCCTTTTTTTCATAATTACGAATCACTTAAGCTACTGAGCATATTTATTAAAGAAACAATATGAGAAAACAAAAGTATGAAAAATGAGAAAATAACTATAGGTGGAGGGTGCAAATAAAGAGATACTGGGACAATGTTCAAATTAAATGCAAAAATTTTTTCAAGAATCTGAGGAAATTTCTTGCAAAGACGTAGACATTCCTTTGCGTTTTGAGCTCTCCTAAATGTGTATCTTAATAGAAACTTCTATCAATTTCGACATTCAAGTAAATTCGACGTTTTGCATCATAAACGATTTCTTAGGAACTTCTGAAAATAAGATTTGATGAACTGCTTGAAAAAATTTTTCTTACTTTATTTGTCAAGTATTTTCGAAACATGATCTAACTTCATAGTCTGCTTGTTGCAAAGGTCGTGAGAGATACTGTGATAACTGAAAAAAGTTCTGAATATTGTTTTGACTATGAAGAGTTTCTTCAACTGATCGGCCGTTTGAAATAAGTATGATTAAACATACTCACCTTCATTGAAATCTTCTTTTCCTAACGAATCTACTTCTTCAGACAAAAATTTTCAATGATATCGTTTTTTAATGTAATAGTATATAGTTTCGAAAATCGTCATCAACAATTTCTCGGCTCTGAAATATGGGTGATTCCAAAACTGAAAAGATATTAATTTTTTCGAACAATACACATTTTTGATATTACCTCCAAGCTTTCCTTCCATTTTGTTGTGAAGTTAGTTTGAGAAACAATAAAAACAAGCGGAAAATAGGATAAAATAGGACAAAAGTAAAATCAATAACCGAGAACATTTGAATGTCATCAGAACGCAGCAAGAGATCGGCAACTTGCTCTTTTCACGTTAAGCAAGTAGCTACTTGCTAAAACTGTTTCATGCATGAGGCAACTTGCTGATGTACCACCCTCTTTGAACAAGGTTAGCAAGCAGTAGCAACTTGCTAATTCATCCTGCAGCTTGCTGATTCTGCTCAACAACTTGCCAAAATAGCTCGCAACTTGCCGTTTGCTTGCCCAATATTCCCTGAGTTTTCAGTTAATGGGGGGATTCAGAATTTTTTAAAACGAAGAAAAAAATCTTCGACTTTTTCGATTTAGGATATTCCTTTTTTCACTTTTGCGTGTCATGCTTTCACGAAGAAATGAATAAATAAAATAAAATAAATCGTGAAAATCGTCATTTTCAAAAATGAAACGGGAGTTTTGGGGGGTACGACGCGTCAGAACTTTTTTTAATAGAACTGCTACAACATAGAACTGCCACGAAATAGAACTGCGTGAAATAGAAAAGAGCGGAATGGAACTGATGTGAGCGAAATGGATCTGCTACAAAATACAACTCATTATTTTAGAAATGGGGGTAATATATGACATGAATCGATTGGAATTTGACACGTATTGGACCTAACTGGAAGAAAATGTGTTTTTCAGAAAATTTTTTCATCTGGAGTAAGCTATAACTTGAATTTGGGTAGTTCTATATTGTAGCAGTTCTATTTCGCTCAGTTCTATTTTGCTCTTCTATTTCACGCAGTTCTATTTTGTAGCAGTCCTATGTAAAAAAGTTCTAACACGTCGTACCCCCCGAGTTTTGAAATAACTCCGGAAATTTCGAATAATTACTATTGCAGAGAATACCAGATTCCAGTAACGCCGGCTGCATTGATGACTTCAGACATCTTCATGCAAATTCATAAGGGTAGCGATAATGTAAAGAAAATCGTCATAAATATGTTTAATTTCAGGTTCCGAATGTCATTGGACATAACACATCGAGTCGGCATCGTCATTTCAGAACTTTGTGAACTTTCTTTTTTGTTGTGATTTATTTTTTCTTCTCTTCTTTCGCGCGCTTTTCATCCTTCGGCTATCCTTAATGTTGTTAGAGTTCGACGTTTTTTGTCCTCGTTCTTGTCGTTGTCCTTCCGGTTCAGAGATGCACGGACAGTCCGTGGTCCGTTGTCCATTGAACAAAATTTTCGCTCGGAAGCTGGATGAGCTCCATTTCCGTCGTTAATTTGCAACCGAGTTTTTTTCGAAATGTATTCATCCATTGCCGGATGTCTGTTGTCCGTGGGAAAAATAATTTTGCTCGTTGTATTCACCCGCCCGCACCCACCCGGGGGGCTCCCCCCCCGCGGCCCCCCGTTGACCCCCCGCGAATATTTACGTGAGGAAAATATTATCTTTTTCGTAGTTTTTTGATTTGAGAAACTCAGTTTTTCTTGGAAAGTACGTGATTATCCTTAAAAATTTTATTAAAATTCACACGCATTTAATTGCGGGGGCCGCGTGGGGCCGCGGGTGGGAGCCCCCGGGTGGGTAGCGGGTAGCCCGCTTCTTCACCCGCCCAAATGGAAACCCTACCTTCCAGTCATATCTCGAAGTTGGAAAATAAATCTTTAAAAAAAAATAATACTTGCTCTGAAAAGTTGTCAAACCCCTGAACAATAATAACTCAAACTGTGGTCAAAAACAAGAGTGTTTGGTCATAAATTTGAATTCTGTAAAATGTTTTCAATAAATGATTTACCCTGGAATTGTTTTTCTTTTTTTGGTTTCATTATGGGCTCGAGAAAGTTACATCAAAAGATTCGCCAAATATCATAAATGTTGTATGATACTAGCACACCTAAAACTTTGTTGATTCTTTCTTTCCGAAAATTTTGTTAATTTCGTTTGTGCTTCTAATCAGTCTGTTTTAAAATCTTCGGTCCATTTTGGCATTAGACTTTCTAACCACCTCGAAGAAGAAGAGGATATATTGAATCACACTTTCAGATAAGTTTTGAAAAATAGAACCACAGTACTCATATTACAGTATTTACGGTTTTTATATTGTGTTTAACATGGTGTGTAATCTGCCTAGAAGAGATGAGTTTGACCTGAATTTTCTGGTTGCGTCACCTGATTGTGAGTTATAACACACCTGCTAATATTTTATGATCCAAGACGAGTCAATAAAATATATTTTATCTGAAGCCGTATCAATGATTTTATTAGGTAGACAGATGTCCTTTTAGATGAATATTCTACAGCGTTAATTTAGGAAAAATCTGGAATTCAGATTTTCAGATTTGGAGTTTCAAATTTCAGATTGATTTCAGAACAATGATGGGTATCAATACGTTTATTAGTATTCTCCAAAAAAACAAGGATTTAATTTGATACAATACAGGAATAATGGTAAAGAGGAAAGTGAAAAATGGTTCGGATGGGATGGGAATTATGGAACAAAAGTTGTAGATTATATTGATAGTTATTAGTGTTTGAAAAAAAGAAAGGATGGGTCATTTCACCGTACGAAAAAAGAAAGAAAAGAAAAAAGACATATACTTAAAATTAAGAAAAGAATCACATGATCACATGGAAAGGGAAAATATTATTTGAAAAGGATGAGTTCAGGATACTGTACATCTAGAACTCTTCTTCTTTTTTGCCATACGGACACCCCCTCCTGACATCATCATTGGCTCGTTTTTCTTTGATTTTCTAGATGAGGCTTTTGGAGGAACCTGAAAACATATTCTGAATTTCAGCAAAGCTTTAAAAAACTTACTCTGCTCAAGGAAGCGGCAGCCATAATATTCGAGATGTACAATTGCTCATCATCAGAGTCAGATGAAGAAGTGCTGTATCCGTCCATGTCTGGATATCCAGTTGATAACTGGTTAGGTGTTTTTGAATAATAGTTACGACGTGTTGGAGATGTCACCATCTGAAAATCATTAGTTCAAATTGTTCAAAATGGTGATAACCAAATCTCACATCATGGGAAAACTTTTTATCGAAAATCGGGCTATTGTTTGAAGAGCATGGAAGCACTGTCTCGTAGATATTCTCCGAGGGTGGTGGTGGTGGAGCTCTTTGTGGTGGCTTAGGACGTTGTCCTTGTACAACCATACTTGGCTTCTGAATCGGCATTGTAGCATTCCCGAAGCTCTGATTCTGCTGTACAATGTGTGGAAGACGTGGAGCCACTCTGGGAGACGCCGGGATTCTCACAACACGAGTTGACTTCTGCGAAAGTTTCCTATGAGGAGAGCCTAATCGGTCCTCATCCAGAAGTTCTTCATCTTCACCACCGCATGTCTGGTAACCACAAAAGAGTGATTCTCCGACTCTGGAATACTTGACTCCGAGCAAATTCTTCGAGCATACACAGCAACAGAAACATTCTGCAGAAGCATGCCAATGAAGATCTCCTTGTGACATATGTGGAGTGTCAGAAGAGAATGAAAGACGACATGTTGTACAGGAAATGGTTGATGATGAGGAATGGAAACATTTCAGACAAACTGGTTTGTTGGCTCTGGAATTTTTAATTTTTAGAATATGGTGTGAGAAACTAAAGTTCAAACCTCTGCATGTATTTTTGATCAGCCAGAACATCATTGCACTGAGCACACTGAAAATGATGAAAATGCCATGAACGACCTTCAGCTTCCAAACATTCGTCCCCGAAGATGACCTGGAAAATAGAGATTTGTTGAACATGTTGTGGAATTGGATTAAAATTTGTAATTTGAAACCAGGATTGGGACTTCGGAACATCTGGAAGTGAGCAACCTAGGAGGTCAAATTTATGATTGAGTGGGAGCCAGAAGTTCGAAAATAGATAAAGAGTAGAAACTATTTGTTCATACTGAAATGATAATTTTCCCACTTTCTTACCGTAAAACCTGCAAAAGAAGGACCCCTTCATTGTAGAGTTTGAACGAATTTTTCTTGCCAGATATGCAAGATATAAAAATTATATCAACTGATAAAATTTTTGTGTTAATATGAAAAACAATTAATCAGTCGGCAAATTTTTCATGTCTTTGACAGGAACCGAGATAAATTGGCTCGAAGTTAAAAGTCAGGACCCTTTCTATTACAGGCTTTACGGTATTTTCCAGGGTTTCTCACTTTGATAAAGCTCAAAGACTACCCATTTCCTAAACTCCCCTTGATTTTTTTTTTCGTTTTCGTCTGTTTGTACCCTAGTACAATTATTTTTTAAGTTGCGATTCTTCTTCCTCTACACCAGAAACTTTTGGTTTCACCAAATCGCCTATCATAAAAATCCTTGCTCTACACACACCACCAGATGTATCGAAAACTCAAGCAAAACAGTGTAATAATCCGTAAAAATCGTTGAAGTTGCTGATGGTGGTCTTGAGAGGGAAATGAGAAAAAAAGAACAAACCTCATCACACTTTGCACACCTTGGTTTGATCTGTTCGGCATGGTGACGGCCGCAGAAGATCTGAAATTGAGGATACAGATCCGTCATTATAAATTCGTGGGAGCTTACCTGATTCTCATGGGCAAAATAGATCAAATCGACGAGAAGTACATCACAAGTTTGACATCGGAAGCAAGCCGGATGATATCGTTTTTGAGTTCTCGTAGCCATCACACTGATCTCTCCCTCGTCAATTCGCTTTGGACACTGAAAATTAATTTTGATTTCTTAAAAATTAGAAATCCCCTTTCCCAATTCTATCAAGATACAATCTCAGTTCCACAACTAGTTTCTGGGACCTAATTTGTGTTGGCTCCTCTTTCCCCTAATTTGTGTTTCCATTTCGAATGAAAACGAGGCGATAAGCATCTTCGGAGGGAACACATCTTCTATCTCCCTAATGTGACGTGCCATTCAAATTCATCATCAAATCTCAATCTGTCACACAAAATTTTTGTTGCGTTTTTCCAGATTCAAAAACCAATTGACAGTAGGATAATCACAGTTAAATTCGATTCCAACTCCCTCCCCCGTTTTTCTTTGCCCCCATTATCCATCCATCAACCTCGTCGGATCTTGGGACCGGCAGGTGTCTTCTAGAAGTGCAAAGAAAGACTAGATTACACGATAAGTAGCAACATTATATGGTCAAGTGCCCTTACCCGTGTCCAGCCGTCTCAGTTCTTCTTCTCTCCATGTGTTTCTATAGTTATGTAAATACAAGATGGCGTCTCCAACTGTTCTGCTTCTTGACCGTCTTACAATCTCCAGCTAATACGGGATTAACAGTTTATTCGTAATAATACGAGTCCGACTTTTGAAAATTCTGTTGCTTACTGTTAGCAGACTTGACAGTAGGTCGATAAGACCTCTGTTAAATAATGTGACAAGAAACAGACAACAATGCATAAGAAGTTTCGTAATAAGAAAAGGATTAGACCACGGGTAAAAGACACCCGGAAGGTCTTACTAGTGAAGATAATGATGTAAAATAATTCAAAATGAGAAGAAACCAGGAGTCGTGGTTTTGATTCACTCCTCTCAAATCAGTTCATCACCCTGACTCTCTAATTTTTTGTTTATCCCCAATTCCAAGATTCGCGATAATTCTCCTGTTCATAATTGCTAGCAGTAGTTGTCCTCCTAACTATCAACAACCAAGTACAGACACCCGGAATCCTCTTGACACGCGCGATTAGTTGAGAAGTAGCAATTGGCAGTGACACATTCAATCCAGAAAACAGAACCATTTTTACAAAAGGCAGATGTTCCATCTCTCCTAATTTAGGCCTTCGAACCCAATACTTGGGCAGGGAAGGGTATCAAATGCGCGAAAACCACTGAGACACTCTCTCCTCTCTCACAGAAAAGTGATTGATGAGATGGTATCATGATACTCCTCACAGGAAGAAGACCACCATCTGTTCATTCTCATTTCCCTAAAAAACCCTGTAATTGACTTCTCTCTTTGCTCTTCCTGTTAATCCATTTATGAGTATGTTTAGATCAAAAAGCCTCACCCGCTAGGCGGATATTTGTTTGATCTACCTACCATCTACCCATGACGGGATTAGATTAACACGGGGGACACTCTAATCAGATTATAATTCGACGGACGTTTCAAGTGAGCAGTCGGACAAGGGAGTACATTACAGTGATCACAGGATGCAACATTGTTATGTAACAAGAGAAACTCCCTCTGCTCAACACAATAGAATCCATTGCTTTGAAACCTCAAAATCCCATCAAAAATCTAGCCCCACAACAATGTGGTTGACTCTTCCCTACTCTATTAATAAACATGTAACGATGCATAGGTAATTAGCAGTGACTGCTTCTTCCCCATCCCCAAACAGCTTCTCAGTAAGAAAGATGGATGAACATTTGACAATAATTGCATATTGTCTATATGACTCTCGTTTTGGAACGCATTGAGATGTTGCAATGATGATGATTGCAGACAGCCGGTTCGTTGGGGATTGAGATTGGAAATTGGAATGGAGAAGAAATATGTGATTGTTTTTGGTTGAATGGAAGCTATAAACTAGTTAAGAAAGAGCATTTTTAAGCGGGTAAAATAGCTCAAGACATTTAAATTCAAGAATAGATCAATGATGAAGTTCTTCAGTTTTGACTATTGACTATCAACATTTTCATATCTCCGACAGGGATTGTGAAAAATTTACTCAAACCTAAAAGCTAGGGGGCTTTTCTGTTACAGTACTCTCAATTACGGTACTCTTAATAATTTTCATTATTATTCCCATCTTCCACACAACAATTCCCATTCTTTTCATGTCCTTCAACACACCCTAAACTAGCACCTGTGCAGCTGGCTTCCTCGTAAGAAGAGGTCAACAACCTCTTCCTCTTTTTTCTTCAGAACTTTTTTGCCGCACTCTCTAAGTGGAACTATCTGCTTTCGAGCAGACGGTTCCCTCTAATGAGCATGACCTTTCTCCAATTTCCGTCATTGTTTATTCTCTCGCGATGTTTTTGGGCGGGAGAACGGCGGTAAGTCAAAAAGGGGAAGAAAAAAGAAGCAGTCGTGAAGATGATGATGAGCATCTCTGTAGCATAAGCATAGCAGAGAGATGGTGCGCGGAAAGACGGCGCTCGCATAAAGATTTATGACTTTTCGAGGGTGCGGAAAAGAAGAAAAAGAAAATGGTTGTTTATGGTTCTATATACGCCACAGTTTGGCCAAGATTTACGGTTTGGTTCAAGCGCTTGATGGGTCAAATATCAGTCATTAGGCTTCGGAAGAAAATTCTTTGATCAATAGACCAAGGATCCCAATAGCAAAAAATACACACCTTCTCACACTTGGTATCGAAAGGAGCATACTGTACGACACCGCTTCCCAGGCATTCCGTCTTCCGAGTTCTCTCAAACATCCTTAACGTATCTGCCTCTTCTGCATTCAAGTCTTCACAGTATCTGACATCTGAATCCTGTGGTGGAAGTTGATAACGAGATTGACGCTGCCGCCATTTCTCTCCAGCTGATCCAATGAAAGGAACTTTGTTCTCCGGGAGACAAGCGAAGTAGGCATGGACCTGTAATTAGATGAAATTTGAATTCAAAGGGAATTTACGGGATCAGCAAAAAAACATCTGTTGTCTAGGGTGTTTTGTATGAACAACAGGTTGTGAACACGATAATTGGCTACAGGTATTTTCATGACCTCTCGGTCCTGATTCGAATTTGAAAAACTCACCATATTCGGTTTCAAACCACTTGGCACCCACGCGTACTCATCCAAGGCACATCCACTGTCATCGTCAGAAGTTGAGTGACGATGCGCATCAGCAGCGATTCTGATTCTGGATGCAGGTGAGAGGCCACCCTGAGCACGACGAGAAGAGATGAACTGTGGAGCAAACTGTTGCTCTGATGGGTCCAGACGACGACGCCGAATGCGGTCACTCATCTGAAAATTAGAATGTTAAGGTACAGGGAGTTAAAGAGCAAAAAGAAAAAGTTTGAGAAAGAGATAAGAGTGAAGATCACAGTAGTTGAAAATAGGTGATTAGTCAGAAACTGGGGGAAACTTTTCAGGGAGAAAAAACACAGAAAGTATGCAAATCCATTTTTTAAAAAGGGTGTGTTTAAGTGGCAAGTGAGAAAAAAGACCAGTCTCCTCCTAGTCTAACCTTCTATTTTTCTTCCAAATAAAAATGTCAATCACTCTGCCAAAGCCATCACCACCAACACTAAAAACTAGACCGGTCCGCCCCGTATATCCACCCCGCTAACACTAGCACTCGACATCTGACCGTTTCATTTCACATTTCACAAAAAGGACGTCGTAATGTTGATTCAATTAGAGAAATCTTCCGAAATCCCCTTCTACCCACGAAAGTAGAAGACGTCCCGTTTGGAAAAAGAAGAACAAGAATAAAGGTATAGTAAAGATCGGGACGTGTGTTTATGCTAATTTGATATGGCCTTGTATGTCTGTACCGCCCGTTTTGTCTCTGTCATTATACCGGTAATGACGGAAAAGTGACAGTGGAACATTATAATGAATTAGAAAGGGTTCAGGAACATCCTTAATGAAAAACCAATGGCCCATCAGACTGTAGAAATTGCGCAAAACGACCATAAGTCTCAAAAGGAAGTTCTAAAAAACTTGATGAGAAAAAATTTCAATATGTATGCAACATAGTGCATGCGCAGAAATCGTACAAAAAATGAGTCATGCACTTTGTCGTGCGGTAAGAATGGTCAAAATGAGAAAACTTAAAAATTCTAAAACAAAGATTTTAGTGGAACCAAATCTTGGGCGTTGTCCCCCGGAACTGCCACATGGAAACCTCGAAAAAGCTACAGGGATCCCTCTCGGTATTCTATCAGAAGAAAAAAGAGGGGCGAGACGCAGGAAGAAGCAGAAGAATGGGGCGGAGCCTACTTCTTCCTCTTACCGCATGTGTTTATGTACCCTTCTCTGGTCGAGAAGGGTCTATCTGTGTATGTGTGTGCGTATGGGTGACAGGTGTTATGATACATCGGTACTAAAGATGTTATCGTTTTGGGAAGAGGTTATGGTCCCTCGAGAGACACCAAAGATGGTCCTCTCGCCTAATCGAGGTAAAGAAAAGACGTAAGATCGAAAGTTAGCGGTAGCCTTAGATGCTTTGTTTGAAGTTTCAGATGAGAGTTTAGATAATTTACAGGATGGATGATTGATGCGCGGTAATAATAACAGACTTCTGGGAACTTCAGAAACTAGGTCGGGTTTTTAATAAATGTTTCTTTATTTTGCTTTCTCGAAAAATTGGGGAAAAAATTGGTATAAAATTAGAAAGAATCTGAAAACATAATGATTCTGATAATGAGAAACAACAGAAAAATTGAAATAATGTTTCCTCAATTGTGATTAAATGTAAATATTTCTGAGCAAATACTGTAAAATCTGTATTGAAAGGGCCGGTTCTTCTATTGTTCCAAGGCACCTCTGGCGGGCTCTTCTATTACAGGGGTTGTTCTATTTTTACAACCATTTTTTCAAAATTTTTCATTGGAAAATTCGGTGAATTCTTGTTCGAATTTCATGAAAAATCTACCAATTCTATGAAAATTGAGAATTTTTGAGCAAAAAATAATTTAAACCAATTTCTGAGAGATCATAAAATCGTTAATTTTCCGAACAACGCATTTTGATATGGGCTCTTCTATTAAATGAACCCTCCTGATACATGTTTTTCGGTAAACTGGAAGAATTCACTACAAATCAGTTTGAAGGTTTAGGAAAATCTTTTTGTAATTCGAAAATTTTCATGGTGTGATTTTTTGTTGTTCTAGAAAATCCTCAGATCTGAAAGTATCACCAAAAAATTCAGGACCTCCTTACAATCTTTTTAGGCCCACGAAGAGTCAAATGACCTTCATAACCTCGAACCGAAACGAGAAAAAAGAAGCGTGGAAATGAAAACAAAGGGGGACCGACCCCGAATGAGAAGACAATAAATCGTTTTTGACACTTTTTTGCGCCGGTGCCAGAATGATGATGCGCATGTGCGGGTGGCGACCCCGACACCTCGCATCACGGAAGACAGCCGGGATGGTGTGCATGAGAAGACCCAGGGAATAAAAATAGAGAGAATAACATTATTTTTATGTTTTAGGTAATAACATTTTTGCACTTTGGAATGGGTTAAATTCTTTCTATTACAAAACCTTGAGAATCTAAAACCATTCTCCAAAAAGTTACTTTGATTGAAACTAAACTTGACAATCTAAATGACCTAGAAAATTGGAAAGATCTTGGTTCCCATAACAGTTTTCACTCTTCATGCTTTTTTACGTCTCGCATGTTTCATTCAAGCGAAAATCGTTAGATAGGAAAATGAGAAAAAAGGATTGAAGACAGGAATTTCTGGTGTTATGAGAAGTTATGTGATGTGCGATGACCGTTAAAAAATTGAGAAAGAGTGAACACATGGTGTGAAGTTGAACTATGAACAAGAAAATTTCAAAAAATGTCAAAAGTTTAGAATCAGAACTAGGAAAAAGGTACACATGTTTTAAGAAAAGAGAAAAAAGGGAATCGATGATCATGAGTAATGATGACACTCTTTTTTATATCTCCGATGTCCTTTCAATAAAAAATAATAAAAAGAGGTATAGGTATAGTTATACGTTCCGCCAAAACGGAACGAGAAGGGACTCTCTGATTGTATGCATACGTTTGGAGGAAGAACACATTGTGATAGGAGACGGATCCCTCTCCACCCTCACCTTCGCCGTATAAGTAGTTGATATAGTATATAAATAAACGGAAAATAGGGAGAATGAGAGGGTGTGATGGAGAGGGAAAGATGGAGTCAGAGTATAATGATGGTATTATGATATTGACTTTGTCGTTTTGTTGATGAAAATGTGGTGATAAATTTGAATGTTCGTGAGCTGTCTAGAAAGTTTGAATAACGTAATCAAAGTTAGCAATCTTTGAAGCTGAAATTTCAGCAGCCCCTGCTGATTTTCATATCCATTAAGGGAAAAATTCAGAATAGAAAGTTGACAAAAAAAGCAAACTCAAGAGGGATACCGTAAAATCTGAAATAAAAGACACACTGTCAATTTTGAGCGAACTCTCCCTGTCTCCTATACAGGATATAAAAAATTTATCAACTGACAAAACACTTCTAATATTATGATGAACAATTTATCAGTTGACAACTTTTTGATGTTTTTCACTGGAACCCAAAAAAATGGCTCAAAGTCAAAAGAGAAGTACTTTCTAGTACAAGTTTTACAGTAACTGCAGACTTGAACTTTCAGAATAGATTAAAGGGACTATCTAGAAACTCCACAAATTTTCAAATTCCGTTTGCCACTTCCAGCCGAGGGATATCAGTTTCAGAACCAAAAACCGCTTTCAGTACAAAGTCGGCGATTTCCTCCACTACTAGAAAGTTTCGGAAATTGAAATTTTTGAGTATTTTTTGATTTTTCAGAATTATGGCGTTTAACACTTTTTAAAGTTAATGCATATTGAGACCTACACAGACATATTTTCCTAACTCCTTCCTGCAACTGATTTACAACAACTGATTCACAAAACAATCTAACAGAACACCACCCAAACAGTCAGCTTTTAGTCCATACATCTCAATTCCTGTAACAGATAACAAAAAGCAGCCAACTAACGAAATGTTTGTCATGTTATCACCAATATTTTGGCAGTTGATTGCGTTTTGATTTCTTCCACAGGCTAGAGGTGGCGTTCTATTAGAGTGTTAACGGTAGTTAACAAAAAATAAATCTAGCAAAATTTGTAGGACATAACTAGCAGAGCTCTATAAGTTTTGCCGGAACTTTTGCTAGGACTTCAGAATTATAGCCATTCAAGAGTACATGTTGCAAACGCTCACAGTTTTTATACTAACCAATGTTTGAAAAAAAAACAAGACCATTGGTTCGAAGTAGTCTTAATTTTAAACTTCAAAACAAGCCTATTACTCATTTAGTACGGTATCACTCGGTGTCACTCAAAACAGATTCAATTCAATCCAAAACAATAGCGGTTTGCGACAATAGTCAGCGAACTGATAAGTTCTACGAGTTTGTTAGGGACACCAAAACCAAGAGAGCTCGGAATACAAAGTTGGGCAAAAAACTGCTCATTATTCAAAAAAAAACTGAAGTGCTTGAGTCCTTGGCAAATTCATATACGAAGAACAATGACACAACTAGGTCTCGAATAGAAATAGAAATCCAAATAGATTTATTTGTAACAATTCTTCTTTTCTTCCTCCCCATCTTCTTCTTCTTCTCCTTGTGCTCCTCTTCTTTTACTTCTTTCTTCTTCTTCTCATTTGAATGACACATTGATCACATTTTGGAGGAGGGTCCTCTAAAGACCCACTTATTCTATTCATTCATTCCGAAATTTATATGTTTTAAACTTTTCGACTCTCTGGTGTCTATTCTTTCAGTGAAGAGAAATTTTGAAGAGTTTTGGCGAGAAGAATGAAGAAGGAGACACCTTGTCAAGGAATGATAAATGTGTCAATCAGACTATGAGATGTTCAGGTACAAATTGAAAAATGATAAGTAAACGGACGATCGTTTGAATTGACGCCAGATCAGATGAGGGTATTATGGAAGGGTTACGATCAAGTTCAAAAAGCAGGAAAGTTGAACAAGGTTCGATTTATTGGCGTAGAATATTTTCAGAATTTCTTCTTCCATATCTATTGTACTGGCAAAACATGAATAAAAATGGATATCCATTGTCAAAAAAAACAAGATGCTCTTGAATGAGATCGTGAGAAATTCACACTTGAGATCTTATTTTTATTTTTGCAAAAAATGGAAAACATAAACGGAAATATCCAATATCTAAATTGTTTTGCTGATGAAAAATAGAATTTCAAAAGACAAAATGAACGGGAATTTCTACGGGAATTTCTTTAACATTGTCAG